TCGCCTAACATCATAATGATAGAAGAAGCTGACAAACAAAAAGCAATATGGTCAATAATTAATAAGAAGACGACGAATAATCATGATAGAATGGAATTAAATGCATGAAGTAGAAAAACTTCTTTCAAATATGCCACAAACTACAAAGCAACCTGATGAGTATTTAAACAACATAAAAACAAGTTAACTCATGCTATTTTAACAAAACAAATGCAATTGAAATACAAAAAATTATAAAGAAAATGAAAAATAAAAAAAACCGTAGATTTTTTTGGCCTTACAGCTCGTTTAATAAAAGAAGTGGGTGAGGAAATATCTGAGGTTTTAGCTCTAGTATTTAAAAAATGTATTGAGGACGGCGTATTTCTGAATAAATTAAAAATTGGAAAAGTGGTTCAAATACACAAAAGGAACGAAATAAAACATGAAAACTTTAGGACTATATCGGTTCTACCTGTTTTCTCCAAAATACTAGAAGAATTGATACATAAGCGTTTGGTAAACTATCTTGAAGATAAACTGATTCTGCATAACAGTTCAGCATGGTTACAGAAGTGGTAGATAAACAACTACTGCAATTATTAACCTGGTACAAGAATTAGTTGAGAAACATGATAACAATGAAACGATTAAAACAGCCAGCTGCGACTTAAGTCGTGCTTTCAATACTGTTAACCACTGTATACTAATGCGCAAACTATATTTTTATGGCGTAACACGTTTACCACATGCTCTATTGGCTTCATACCTTTCAAACCAAAAACAGGTTGTTCTGAAACAAGAAACGCTCGTTTGAAAGCTGGTCTGAAACAAAATCCAACATGTAGACCTGTAAATATGGAATACCACAGGGTTTCATTCTGGGACTTACACTGTTTGTTGTAGATATAAATGATCTACCTTTTTGTGTTGACGATGTCACAACGATTCTCTACGCGGATGATACAACGTTTGTTGCAAGGGGAAGTACCCACGATCGAGTCAGTGCCAAGCTTGACAGTGTTGTTGACGACTCTGAGGAATGGATGTTATCAAATGGATTAAATATAAATAAGAACAAAACGCAGATGTTGAGTTTCTTCAACAAGAATAGTAAGTTCCTTGGAATGAATCTGGATTCAACATTGAAATGGTGTAGTCATATTCAAAACTTGTTGACGTTAAGTACCGGCCAGGAAGCGGCAAGGAATGCCTGTTTTTAAGGTATTGCGACATATGAACTCGCTATGTGGGGATCATTATCTGCAGCAACCTGAGTGTTTATACTGCAGAAACTTTGTGTTCGTGCTTTGGAGAATTTAAAACCAGGTGAATATTGCAAACCCGCATTTAAATAATTAAAAAGTTTGACGTTATCCAGTCTTTATGTGTTCAATTGTGTAAAATATGTCCATAAAAACCGAAGTAAAGTAGGTTGAATGAACTCACAATTAATAATCACAATTTATTATAATACTACAAATAGGAAAACTCTAGAAATACCTTTACATCGTTTAAGCGTTACCCAACGCAAATCAAACAACACAAGGCAAAACTGCTAAGCTGTCTGTTCCATAACTTGTGTCTCTTTGTGTTTTGAAATGCGTTTAATCTTAGCTGATGTATAGTAAATAACTTACTTAAGATTGTATTGTATTTTTTCGACGTACCGCGACAACTTTTATTGAGCAATAAAAATTATTATCATTATTTTTAAATAAATTTGATTTGTGGTCGAAAAACAGTAGTAGTGGTCATTATGGGCCAAATATTTCATGGTAAAATTGATGCTACTTGTTAAAGAGGATATAAACATAAGTAAATTTAATAAGCTAACTGCGTTTTTGAAGAAAAGTAATATTGAATACAAACCAAAACAGTCAAAAGTACTCATCAGGGAAGAAATAATACGCTTTTTGAAGGATGCACCTGACAAAGAATATCTTTTGACAAAGGTATGTATAAGAATTTTTATTGATTTAAAATTTGAGTTGAAAAATTTGTAGAAGTTTTACAACAAAAAGAAACATCTCATAATATTTCCACTTTGTCAGAATCTACTAGTATTCTCTAGTAGATTAGTAACATTTACAGGCCTTCTGATGTTATAGCTCACTCACCAGACTAAAATTAATGATGTAAACATCAATACACCGGACAGTATGAAATAAAAAAAATAAACAATATGATTTAAGATTTTTTGCTCACCTTTTTAGCAATGATGCAATTAAAAATTACTGGAACATCTTTTTTTAGACGACCACCATCAGTAAAGGTTATGGTATTTCTCGAACTGCCTTCATTTTCTGGATACCATCTTATCTCTAATAAAACATCCTCCTGAGGTCCGATAACTTCCTGATACCAAGTGAGCTCTATTCTTTGATCAGTTGGCACTCTTGTAATACATATCTAAACAGAGAAATTGTTTCAAACAAAAAATTTTTAACCTCCCATTAAAATCTTCAAATCAATCATATTAATTATAAAACAAATATAATAATAATTCATACCTCGATCTGATGGCAACCAGGATTTCGAACAATTAAGGTTTTTGTAGCAGTACTTCCCAAAAGAACATTTTCAAAAGTAATCTTTGGTAACGGTGTAAAAGGAGCTAAGGATAAAATGTACTTTTCTTCTTCCATGTTATCTATTGAAAGTTGGTTTGGACTCTGCTTGGAAACCTTTGCCGACGATACAAACTGAAAAGAATTATGTCGTAATTGATTTTTTTAAGAACTATAAAAATATAGAACCCGTTTTACCTGTGAAAACATTTTTAGCGTGAGACACACATTAGTCAAACATAATTACACAAAATCAATGGATTTAATATAGCTATTTCAAATCGTTAAAACACCTTTAAGAATATCAATCAATTCTGCTTGCAATAAACGTCGTGTTTATAATAAATTTAAAAGCCAACTGACCGTTGTAGTACGTTAAGTTTCAAATTCGGTTTGACAGTTTTTGTACAATCAAACATTCAAAATGCGCAATACACATTTAGCTCAATTGAAAATTGGTACTAATAATTAAACAAATTCTTAAATTTATTTTTAACATACATCATATATAATTGAATATCTTTTTGCAATATTGGACTGGATAGTTAAGTTATTTATAAATTAAAACATTAATAAATTTAGTAAAAATGATTATTTGATGTATACATATGTACCAATGAGTTTGTAAAAATCACTCTTAATCATATAAAATCTCCCTTTTTAACTAATTTAATTGACTTGTTATAGTGTTAATTTTTATTTTGATGTGATTTATAAAAACTAATGATATATTTCCGAAATATATGTGATTTAGAGCATATGTAAATAGTGACAAAAGTGTAATCGCCATGTCGCCATCTGTTGGATTTAAATAAGTATACTTGTAAGATTATGAAGTTTTAAAATAAACGTCAAAACAATGTTTTAGGTTATGTTAGGTTATATCCGGTAATGTAGATTTTTATTATTTTCCGTTGAGGTCCAAATTTCCATAAATTTAAAAAGAAAATCAATAGGGTTAATATGTTTGTTTCTTTTATGCCTCAATACTACATCTAAAAAAAAAGTAAGTTTCTTCTGGACTTGGTTTATTGTTTATTTACACGTCGCATATACCAGAGCTTATCTTTGAATTCTTGTGTAAACTCAAGTTGTTCTTCATCCATTATTTGCATATTTTCACTTCTACAGAACCACAAACAATTTTGTTTAATCATTTAAATGCAATCTGCCGAATTTATCTCTATAGTGACTATAGGCAGTAAAAGGTTATGTTTATTTTCTTCAATTGAATTCTGCTTCTGATTACAAGATGTTCCCCCATGAACCGCCATCAGCTTGATGTCATTTCTGTTAAAAATCCTTGAAAAAGTTCTGGAACGGTATATATATCCGTACGGTGCCACAGAGTCGCCATCAGTACGCTTATCAAGCGGGAAAATCAGCAGAATTAGCTCTACACAACTTGGTTGGTAGAGTATCCAGCACGCTCCAGGATAAAAAGATCTTGGCTTGTGCGTTTCTGGATATAGAAGGCGCGTTCAACAACGCGATACCACAATCTCTTGAAAGAGCAGCTCTTGACAGGGGAGTTGAAGCAACTTGTACTGCCCGAACGGCAGTCCTGGACCGAAAACGAAAATTATCTGGTTCAGGTAGATATTTGCATATTCACAGATGGGAATGAAACACAGATTAAACGCCTGAAGGGGTCGGGGCGGGAGTATACTGCCAGAGTATACTGTACTGTATTTCAGGCGGAAGTATTTGCTATTGACATGAATGCTAAAATCCTTCTTGAGAGAGGAGTGAAGAACATGACAGTACGACTTTTCTTAGACAGTCAAGCTCTCCTGGTCGTGAAAACGGTGTCAGTTCTAGTTAATGACTGTAAAAGAACATTAAACACACTGAGTTGTGATAACAGAGTTTCTCTGATCTGGCTCCCAGGTCATGCTGGTGTTGCTGGCAATGAAGCGGCAGATGAGCTAGCACAAGAGTGCAGCGCCAAAGCGTTTGTCGCGCCAGAGCAAGTCGTTGATCGTTTGCGATGGTCAAACATAGAATTGGACTGTGGGCTGAAGAGAGACTTCGCCTACTGTGGACCAGTTCTCCTGGAATGAGACACGCTAAGTTGTTTATTAACATCGCCACTGTCAAACCCGGCAATATGTTAGGGCTTGCTCATAGCAACATTAAAGTTCTAATGGTAATTGGGCACTGCCAATTAAAGACACACCTCAACTTGTTGGGTCTAGCAGACGATGTTGAATGCCGACTATGTGCCGAGGACGAGGAATTAGATGCTGACATCAAAGACACCAGATATTCTTTCGACGGAGCCATACGACACAATTTGATTAGACTTGATGATACAACTTCGATTCAACGCGATAACTTACCACTACTCTACAAAAGTGCATATTTAGAACGAGGAACGCTTGGTATGCCGCGGTTAAATAGCTACATTTAAGTTACTTAACTAATTTTCTTAAATAACAGTACTAAAAATTCAATGACATTTTCTTTATTATGAATGGAAATGATTAAACAACACAAATATGAAAAAGAAAATAAAACACAATCTCGTTTTTTTACTTTAAAGTCATTTTACGTTCACTTAGTTTATTTTTAACCGACCGTAGATGGTACATAGAGGCGTGTAATTTCCCTTCCTCCTCATTTAATTTATGTTCGATAGATGTGATGGCAATTTGCGAACTACTAATACGTTCTTGAAGTTCTTGAAAAATACTGCTAGATTCAACCTGTGAAGCCGTAGGAATCTTGTCTTGTTGCAATAAAATATACTCTTTCAGAAGTTTATCATAATTTTCGATTACATCTTTTAATTTTTTCGTTAACATTAAGTTTTGTTGTATAATAACTTCTTTTTGAACAACTTCTTTAGCGTTATTTCTATTAACTACGGAAACTGTACTTGGAAGCTTTTTATCCGCAGAAAGTTCTTCCATTTTTATTTCCAACTTGGATGTTTTAACGCTTAGTTTTTGAAAGTTCGCTTTTAAATTCAGTTTTTCCTTATGTAAACGTAAATTGGCGTATCCTAGTTTTTCAATTTCCTGTCGTAAAAAGTGACAATTTATACAATCATCTTCGTCCTCGGTTTGAGAAGTTTGGGATTGCGATACTGTTCGAATTCCTGGATCATCTTTATCAATCAACATTTGTCCTAATCGTATTTTTAATTTTTTCACTTCTTCTTTTAAAGCTTGAACCTCGGCAGATGAATCGTTTTTACTTTCTTGGAATTTAATTAATTCCGCTTCTAAAGCTTCACATTTTAATTTATAAGTATTAATTTGTTCGGATAAAAGTTCGGCATACTTTTCGGTGGAAGAACAAGTATTTTTTAAACTTTCAACCGCATCTGTAGTTGTACCAACTTTATCTTTTAATTCATTAATAATTTCATCTTTAATTTTAATTTCTTTTTCTAACTGTTCTTTATCTTTACGTAAATTACTTAATTCGGCTTGAAGTTGAGCGTCAATTGATTGCCCGTTTGCTATGCTTTCTTTTAAAGCGGCGTTTTCGTTTTCTATTGATTTATAAGAACTATGTAATTGTTGGTGAGAAATTAAATCTTGCTCGATTGAAAATTGTTTACATTTTAAACGTTTATTTTCCATCCGAAACTTAATGATATCAGCTTGAAGTAATTCAAATTTTTTTGAAAGAACACTATAACTTAAAGCTTTTTGTTGATGTTCGGCGTCGCTGTTCTTTAATTCACGAAACTTTTGGCCTAATTTAATGTTGTCTCGTTTAATTTCATTATATTTTTTTCTCAATTCTTCAAAATCTCTAAGATGATCTTTTTGTCCTTTTAAATGATGAAGTTCTGTTTTATAGTATTCAATATCTTTAATTAAGTTTGATTTTATTTGTTCAGATTTTTCACATTTTACGTGTAATTGATTGAGTTCTACATTTTTCTTTTCCAACTGTTTTTCTAAGGTTTTATTGATGGTAGCATATTCAATAAGGTGACAATTTTTCTGATTTATATCAACGATTAAAGATTCATATTTTTTATTTAATTCCGTATTTTCCAATGATAATTCATTAACCGCCTGATCTCGTTTCATTAAATTATTTTGTAGTGATTTGATTTGGGTGTGAATTTTTTTGTGTTCGTTCTCCAAATTAAGGAATTTCTGTTTAATATCTTCGTTATTAATCCGTTTTTTCAATCCCAAAGTTCTCGACATATTTATTTCGTTCTTCATTACCTTATTTCCTGTTTCACTTATCGAATCTTCTTCGGAATCCGTATCCAATTTACTCATTAATCCACATCTATCATGTGGCAGTAAACCATCACCACTTACGATAGCCGGACGTGGAAGCAAAGTTGGCAGTGGAGCGCTCATAGTGTTTGTTAAATGCCGAGGTTGATGTTGAGTAGTCATGATGAATTCCAATGCGGGGAGAGCCACTGGGATGCTTGCTATATCACTCATTATTGAATTTTTTTGTTCTTTTTGGAGAACCGACTAAAATTATGAAACTAAAAACGAATTTATTTTAGGAATCGTACGGATTTATGCTTTTATATATTTTAGAAATGATACTTACATTTACATAGAAGCTACAAGAAAAACACTTACACAGAAGAACACTTCATAATTTTGATGTGTACGTGCTAATGTCAACGAATTATGTGTTATTATTATGAACAATACATACTTGATTTACAAAAATAAAATGAGGTGGCCTCCACTCAACTTCATGACATTATTAGATAAACGTCTAACATCTATCAACAAAAAATAAATTAAATAAAACTCAATGATATATGATGTGAATGAGATGAATTAATATCTAACAGTTATTCATAATTAGAATAACATACAAATAAGTGTCTAAAACAAATGTGATTGTAATAAATTCATGCGTTTCTCGTTTTCATTCGTTTCTGGTATTACCATTTCTAGCACTTGTAGTATCTGCTTGAAAGGTAGAATAGGTGACGCTTGTATGACTTGGGCGTTTCCGAAAATCACTGGAATGCAAATATAAATTGCATGAAAGTTTGCACCGGACATGAGAAATGAACACGCTATTCCAACCCCATCCATAATGACTGTAGCTAATGACTAGGAAAACACCGGGGAGATAGACTCAGGCTAGAAAACATCAGTAACAAACTGCAAAACCTTCCCTGCTGCCGATTGCGGATCCGACCACCCACTAGTAGTAATGGAATATAGATTGAAACAAGAACCATACAAAAAACGCCTAAAGCCAATAATATTTCTCCGGAAGAAATCCTCTCTTCAAAACTCTTCAAGGCGGAAACCCAACCTCGATTAAATAACATTAAGAAAAACGCCATAAAAAAAATGTAGAGTAGAAATGGAGCAGCTTCAAACATATTATACAAAAAGCAACTACAGAGATCTATGAAAAGAGACAAAGCAATAAACAACATAAGCACTGGATCTGTATTTATTTACATAATTAATATAATATAATGTTTACATAACCAAATACAGCAGCTCCCTCCACAACTCCAAACAGTCCCTGAGTTTGTGTATCTCGGATCTTCAATCTTCAGTAAGGAGACTTGTGACTCAGAAATTGACGAAAATATGGTTAGACCAATAAAGAACATAAAGGTGCAGCTTATGAAGGTTCTGGTTTTACCGATATTTCTATACGCAGCAGTCATGGACCATCAGAACTTCCGTCCAATTTTCAACTATGTGCCAACGCAGAATTGTCCAATATTTTGGCCATGTGGTATGACGGGATGAAACAACCTGGAAAATTTTGCGGCTTAGGGCAAGGTAGAGGGAAAACGCCCTAGAGGCAGATTGTCCTCTAGATGATTAGATCAAATTAAAAGCATCACCGAGAAGCCTCCACAAACAACACTGAAAGAAGACTCATTCAGGTGGAAAGAAATAGTCATAATTCCTCAGAAATGATGAGACTGATAGGAAGAACAAAAGAGCTTTACCGAAAATTTTGTGTTTTAGGTGGCCTCTGGCAACGCAATTACACACTATATGTTCAGCCGTTTCTGACTCGTCGTTTGCAAAGTCGACAAGTTTGATCCTCAGCATGTCCAATGTGGAAGAGGCTTTCCTGAGATATCATACTCTTCGCTTGTATATGACCTTTAAGTTCTTTCCAGCATAAGGCTACCTTTGAGGCCTCCCAACTGTTGATGCTACAGCTGAGCTGTATACTAGCAACTACAAATTATTCCTGTTGGATATTCATATTATAAAGGTTTTCCATTAAGAATTGTTACTGTAAATAACTTTAAAACGATTTTTTGCAAAGACTAGTCATATTCTTATTGCAATATACAGCCATACTCTACCACTGATTATAAAATATATCTAATAAACGCCCGTCTTGATTGTACTTTGCAAATGGTTATTCAAGAATTTCTGTTTTGATATTGTTTTTGACTTGTTCAGTTATTATTGAACCATTAATGTCATTCTTATCCTTCATGTAGCCCAAAAAAACCAAGTCCAAATTCCTATAATTTAGGAACTGTCCTTTCTTGTGAGTCAAACCCAGCAGTAAGAAGCTGATTTGTGAAAACATCTATTTTTAAATTTTGTGAAAATTATTAACAAAATTCCAGTTATAATAATAATATATTTATTGAGCTTTCAAATGTTTTATTAAATAAGTAGAACAAACAAAGCACTGGCAATATGGAAATAGGCCGATAGTTCTTATACTCATCTGGATCATCAGATTTTAAAATATTATCAGATTTATATGATAGGGACAAATATATCCACCAGCTGTAGTCTCATGATATAGCAAGTTTGTGTTAAATTCCAATATTAAGTTTTGTTTTTCTATATTATCCTATATTTCATATATTAACACTTCTTTGTCAACCTAGCTTACAAAGAAAACTAATCTAAATTTTTGTGTAAAAGCTTGTTGCATATTCCTACTGCTACATTAACCTACTATGATAAACAACAAAGAGAATTCATAGATTTATCAGCCAAAAAATATTGGGCTGTGTTAACATTTTCAGCTTGTTTAGCCAATCTATTCCTTTGTATACCTTTTCAAGTTTAAATTGGTACTAATCAAATTTACAACATCAAATTTGCATTCAATAATATAACAAAACTATCTTTAATACTTGGTAATAAACAATATTGTAAACTGAAAAGGTGACATTCTCCATGTTTAAAATAGAGGTGATAAGCTTTTGAATTCCGGCTATTAACCTTTTACAGTTAATTACATTCATTTTTAGAATATTGTTCAGAGTGATATGTTTTAAGTTTTGAATTCTGTACTCTGTTGGAGACAAATTTTCTCAGTCATTTCCTTGCAAAATATTTGTAATTGCATTGCCAAGTCCTTTTGAAACTCAATTTGAACTTGAAATGGTATAGTTTATAGAGAATTTTAAATTCGGCATAAATAATCCGTGCGAATATAGTTGAATCCCGCAATCTTTAATCTCATTTCGAGTGTTGCTTCTAAAAGGAATGATTTAATATACACAAAATTGAAATATCAAAACAGAAAAAAACTATTATTTCTACTCTAACCTCTAAAACTTGCGGATTGACATAAAGGCAAAAAGGCGGTTAAAAGTTAATTGTCAAATTTCAGACTTACCAACTATAGGTTCTTTTATTTGAACATTAACACCGCATTAATAATTCATGATCTCTTCTGTATTCAAGAATCAGATTCAAAAATAGGTGGTTATAAATCTTTTAAAAAGTATAATTAAGATTTTTCTAAGGAATTTAAATCATATTTTGATTTTTTAATGTTGGTAATATAAATAATATTTCCTAGAATAATTTTATATTAAGGTATATATTTATGATTCAATTATTAGTAAACACAAAAATAACTTTAATAAATAAACAAAATGTAAATAGTTTTAAAAAGATTATAATTTTTTTTGCAATAAATTTTGAAACCTTTATTGAAATTTTTAAGTTGGCACTACATTCTTCTGTTTCCAGTTCCTATTTTTTTAATGTTAAATGCCATACATTTTAACGATAATATAACGCCGTTTTTTAAACTATAACATACCAGTATTTATCAATTTTAAAACTAATTTTTAAAGTGTTAAACTGTATAAGTATATTTGTTGTACGATGAAATCCGAAGATTATTTTGAAGAAAGTTTAGCAACAACCCCTAAACCGACAGCTACTTCTACTATAACCAAAAAACCGCATACTGGGAATCAAATTCCTGCCCGTAAGCCTCTTGAATTTAATTCTGCGACATTAGACGAATCGGCAGCTAGTTTAGGGATTTTAAATCCAATAGAAATGAATGTAACAGCTTATTCAGAATCTGGTAATGGTGAAGATGTGATGAACAGGTTACAAACACAAAGAAATTTGGCGAAAAGTTTGCTGAATAAAGCTAGCAAAACTGTTGGTTTACCATCAAAATATTTTCAACAAAATTCCGTATTGCAAGAAAGCTCCCGTAATTATGTTAAAGATTTTAGCACTGTAAATGAAAGTGATTTGATAAGAAAAGATTCGGTTAATTCACAATCATTTTACCCGGGGAATGTATCTACTCCAAGAACATCAGAACATGTAGAAAAATCAGACAAAAAAGAAGTTTCAATGTTTGATAATATAACAGCAATGTCTGAACAATTACGACATTCCGATATTAATATTCAAGATATTTGCTCTCAATTACAGTATCGAGCTAGTCTTTGTAAATCTTTGATGGGTCAACAAGTGTCTGGTCTTGAAAGTCAAGTTTTTACACCAGCAGAATTGATGAGCGAACAATTAAAGAGGGACGAAGTCTCTTGGAGGAAACAAAGAGATATTCCAGCTGAAAGGAACAGTACTTCATCGTTTTCTACAGTAACCGGCAAACATTCAATTGGAAATTTCTTTGAAACTCGTGGTAAAAACGATTTGGGTGATTTGTTTAGGTCAAAAAGTCCAGAACGGTCGCATTCACCAACTCCATTAATTGATAGCACCCGTATTTCTAATATTTATCCTTCTGACAGCTATAAGGTAGATAATAAAACATTTAAGAAACCAGGACCAATCGACGATAGTTCTGTATTAAGTCTTACAAAGATTCAGAAGATGTTGGCCGATGTTGATGTTGATTCCCCAGGCAAAATGGTTGATAAATTATTAAAAAAATGTAAGTTAATACTTAATAATAATACTAATTTAATTGATTATTATTATTAATTTAGTAATTAATTATCAGAAAGTTGTGTAGCATTGAAATGTTGGTCCCATCTCTCTATTATCAAATGGTTTCATCCTCTGAAGGCGACGCAGGACATTCTTGTTGTCAAGAAGCTGGATGGCTTCGATGTTGGGATTATCTTCTCATGTTTAGATGCGAATGATGCAATTTCTGATTTCCAAGTCGCGATGGAGGTCGGTGTTTCTTATACAGGTGTCTCACATAACTGGTTTGTTAGAACTTTTTCAGGTTCCACTATTCATAGAGATTTGAAATTTTGGTAGCATGGGTTGTTCATTCGGAACATTCAATCTAAAATATTTTCAAGATGGCCTCCACTTGGAGGTACAACCCCACAGTTGGATTCTGTATGTCCATTTTGGTTTTAATACTTGCTTGTGTATTAGCAACTTGTTTACAACATGATCTTGTTCCTCATGTTTTTTTTTCTTTTTTGATGTGACCTTTCCATTTGAGTTTGGCATCCAGCGTCATACCAAGATATTTTGCGGTGTCGGCGTACGGGATTGCATTGCCATTTATGTGTACTGGGACATAGTTTTCTTTCTTATAAGTAAAGTTTATGTATGTCGATTTATTTGTGTTTAGTTTTATTAGCCATCGTTTGGTCCAGTTTTCTATTGAATTTAAGGCCAATTGTAACTTATTTGCTGCAACTACTTCATTTTCTGCAACAGCCAAGATCGCTGTGTCAATTGCGAATGTAACTGTTAAAGTTTCTGGTATCTGAGGAAGTTCGAATGTGTAGAGTAATTACAGTGATGGGCCAAAAATATGGCGGAGCAGACTTTATTTTCTTCCATTGCTATTTCGATAGTATTCGTTATTCTATGCCTATGCACTTGGTGTATTGTTCCATGTTTATTCTGAAACCCAAATTGATGTGTTGATGTGAGGGCTTTTTCTTCTATCACAGGTTTTAGTCTTTTTAATAGTAAATTTTCAAGTAGTTTTGATAATAAGCGTAATAATCATGTTTTGGTATCATTATTATTTCAGCAACTTTCTATATACTTGGAAAGCATTCGTGTTTAAACGCAGCATTAATTATGTGTAATAGTTTTGTAATCGGCCGTTTTGGTAAATGTTTCAATGTTTCTCCATTAACTTAAGTAGGTCATAGCCTACTGATTTCTTTATATTTAGTTTTTGTATTTTATAATACAGTTCTTTCATTCTTACACATGGTATATTACTCTGCTGATCACTTTGAATTATGCTAGAAACACTAACATAGTTGTTGGACTGTCTGATGTAGATGTTTCTTTCAGATGTTCAGCAAACAAATTAATTTTTTCTTGATTGCTCTTAGCCCAATTTCCATTACTATTTCGAATTGGAGGTGTATGTGTTTTGGGAACTTTAAGCTTTCTTGTTGGCTTCCACAGAGAATAATCAGTATTGGCATCGTCAGTAAGATCTTTTCAGTAATTTTGAATATTATTTTGTTTGTGGCTGTCTGTTAATGTTCTTAATTCGGTTGTTATTTTATTTAATTTAGTTTTATCACTAGGAATTCCGTTGGTTTGCCATTTCTTTCTTGCTTTCCGTTTTTCTGCAATTTTATCTGTAATGAATTTAGGATAAATGTTAGATTTAGGTTTTGGGTTAAAATAGGTATTGAGGCCGAGGCTAAGTCAAAATTATGTCTTTTAAGAACTTTTCTACTTCCCTGTCAATGTCTTGTTGTTTGTTTTCATAGGAGCATTAAGATGAATTTTATTATCTAATGTTTGTTGAAATAGATTCCAGTTAGTAAATATATTGGTTACTGGTAAAAAGGGTTCTTTGTTACATACTTTGTTATTTAAAGTAATAATTACTGGTGAGTGATCTGAGTTCAGCCCTAACTCTTCTTCTATGTTTACGAAGTTAAGCGATATATTTTTGTAAAAAAAAATCAAGCAGTTTCGGAATTTTACTTCTATCTGTTGGCTAGTAAGTTGGCTTACCAGTGGAGAGCACCTCACAATTTAGGGCCTCTATTGCATGTTTCAGTTCTCTTCCTTTTGTATTTGTCAAGCAAGAATCTCAAGACATATATTTTGCATTAAGGCCTCCTCCAAGTATAAATTTGTTTTCAAGATGCAGTAGAATTTCCTGATAATCTTCTCTTTTGAGATTTTGTCTCGGCGGTATGTACGTTGCTGCTACAGATATTAAGCCATTAGCGGTTTGAACTTTTATCACTGTAGTTTGATGTTCTTCAGTACTAATAGTTGTGGTTGCTGCTTCTTGGATATTTTGATTTCTTTTGACTAATGTACTTACAGTTTTATATACAGCTGCATCACTCGCTTTTTCGGCATACGAGACGCCGGACTTTCTTTTATTTGAATTTACTTTTTTCTTATTCCTGATGGCTTGTAGTTCCTCAATCACAATGCATCCTTGGCAGTTCGCTGGATGATTTTTTCCACAGTTGAAACATTTAGCCGGGATTTCTATGGCTTTAGTACATAAGCTGGTCCAGTGTTCACCAGCGCATTTACCACACCTCGGATTTTTGTGGCAGTAAGCTGACACCTTTTGCACTGGGGCATTTGTTTTGGCTATCTGTACTCTTCGATTTTAACAAGCAATCCTAATATGTTTGTTAATTCATGGATTCTTTTTGTATCTTCTGATGGTGCAAAATCCAAGATGTATAAAAGAAGAGGCTTTTTTGTTTTGTATGTTAACAATTGGGCTCCAATAGTTCATCTTTGATATCATTAATATCACAGCTTTTATGCATCTTTTTAGCTACTTTCAGATTTCTGGTTTACTTATTTTCATGAGTGGACCAGGACAAATTCTTTTCAGTATCTTTGATGCTTCTCTGTACTTTTGTTCCGAAGTAAGATTCAGTTTTACTGTGCCGTTATTTAGCGCAGGTGTTAAAATCCATCTTTAATTACGCTTTTAAGTAATTATTGCTGAATTAAGGAATTGCCGAATTGTTATTTATTGTTATAAATCGCGTGTAGGATGTATATTATTAGTATGTTTATGTTATCAATATAAAAAATATTGTACTGTTCACAGTTTTTTCCTATTATTAATGTTATTAATCTTTTCAGCCGATCAAAGACGCCCGAAATCAAAATCACCAAACGCACCATCAAAAGAATACGATTGCGATGAATATCTAGCACAGAATTTATCCAGAAATTCTTTAGCAGTTCAAACACATTCTACAGTCCCAGTACATCACGTTTCTAGACGTTCACCACAACATCTCCAAGTTTCAACCGTACGTGGAAAAAGCAAAAGTCCATCACATGATGCCATTTGTTTTTCGTCAACACCTTTTTCACAAAGTTCTTCAATCCAAATGGAGCATAGTTCCAGAAATACAGAACGAACTCTCCACGTATCAAATGCCCATAGAAAAAGTACTAGTCCATGTGATGATCCGCGATGTTCAACATCTCACATACCAACTATAACAGTAGACTCTCATAACTCCAGAGATTCTGGTGTAAGAACTATGGAAAGTGAAGCTAATTCAAATTTACGATACAGCTCTAAAGTGTCTACAGCTTCTTCAATTAAAGGTAGCAAAGAAAATGTTAACGGAGGATGTGGTTCGTCAATGGGTTCTAGATGTCCAAGTAGCTTGGATTCTATACCTGAAGGGAAATTACCGATTAAAGGAAATAAAGTAGAAATTGTGTGGGGCTGTATCAAAGTGGGACGGAGTCAGTCGCAATCGTTTCAAATTCAAAATCAATTAAACCAAAAGGTGCGCATAGAAGTTTCGGTGGGTGGTTCGAATTTTCAACTTATTAAAGAAGGTAACATATCCGAAATGTTAACAACAATGGTTTTTACTCTTCATGCATTTGAAACTAAAACATTATCAGTTATTTTTCGACCAACTAGAATAGGAGCTATATCGGACAAGCTGGTTTTCTATCCCTGTTCTAATTCAGATGTTATCAAAAGTTTAAAACAAACAATAAAATTATTTGGGTATGGTGGACATATTTCGGTTGATTTAACTAAAATGTTTAAGGATTCTAATGGAAATTTTTGGTTTTCAATGGGTGCTTTAGATCATAAACCAATAATCCAAAATTTTTCCATTAAGAATACTGGTGTTTTGTCAGCGTTTGCTATAATAGAATTAGAAAACAATGGATTAATGTCAAAATCAGTTAATGTGAAAATTAATCCAATTGAAATGGTTTTAAAACCACAGCAAGAAATTAAAGTAACATTAATGTATACCCCAAAAAAAGAGGATTTTAAATCTCAAAATGAAATTATCGACGTAGGATCTTTTAAATTAGTATCAGGAGCTGAAGTTGTTCGAGCAAGAATAAGAAGATTATGCAGTATGCTACCACAAAAAAATGAAAACATTGATAAAACAATTAAAAGATTATCTAAACAGCTTCCTGGTGAAGATATTCCAAGTGATTTGGGTCTACTAAATGAAGGAACATCTTCTATTGCCGATCTCTTGAAATGCATTACTGCAAAACAAATTCGTTTAAACATTGAAAAGAATCCAAATGTTACTTTAGAAATCTCCAACAGTTTCTTCAATGATTCTACCATGTTTAAAACTCTTTATCAAGACAGTACGACAATACAAGATGAAAATGACTTTAATAAACCTAATAAATTATTTACAGTCGATCCGAACCGTATCGTATTTTCGTTACCATCTAAAAAAAGTGATACTATTTTCATCCAATCAAAAAGTAAAACTCCTGAAAAGTTTAAAGTTACAGTAACTGAAGGTTTTAAAGTGTCTCCGTCCAATGGTGTTGTATCTAGCGATGAATTTGTTGTAATAACAGTTACATGTACGAAAATGCGAAATGACGTAGGTAAGCTGCAAGTTTACATTAAGAATGAAACTGCTGATGTGGATTTAAAGGCTATTGTACTTAGAAATTGAGTTTCTTAAATTTTTATAATATGTCTATTTATTAATATTATTACACTCATTAGTTCTAATTATATTTTTGTATTTTGTACTATTTTTTCAATACATGATGTTTTTATATTTTATAATGAGTTGTTGTTGAATTCATGGATAGTGTAACCCATTTAAAAGAGAAGTACTGTCATAAAACTTGTATTTATTGTTTGATTTCACATTTTTTTTCATTTATGTAAGGTGAAAAAATGAACTGTAGGAGAAAGTGTCCTAAAGTGAATGTGAAATGTGCAGAGATCAAAAACTTGGATTTTTAAATTTATTTAACTTGGTTTTAATCCCTAGATACCCTTATAATAATATTTCCCTATAAAATCTTTTCTTTTAAGAGAACACAAATAATCTAAAACTAGTTTGTAACCAGTTTGTTCCCACATTTTTCACATGCCAGTCTTCCACCTAACCTTCAACTTAAAGCTTTTCTAAGATGTCGAGTGTAATTGTTAAAAATCTACCTAAAAAGGTAAGTTATTCAAAAATATTAGTGATATTAATATAAACAGAATCAATCTTTTAGATTACCGAAGAAAACATACGCAAAATTTTTGGAAAAAGAGGTTTATTAGCAGATGTTAAATTAAAACATACATCTGAAGGAACATTTGTATTTGCTTTTTTGGTATATCAATCTGAGAGAGAGGCAAAACAAGCTGTTAAGGATTTTAATAATACCAGTATACTATCTAATACAATTGTTGTGGAAGCTTTAGGTAATTTCTTCTTTCTTTCTCTTCGTAATTTCTTCTATTTCCCTTACAGGCAGTGGGCAATGAAATACTAGAACTAACACAAGACCTGGAACTAGATATATTTGGATTTATCCGCACGTCTCTCAAGACGGCTAAACCGAAATGATTCTAGTTGTAGGTCTAGTTTTAGTGCAATAAAAATATGCTAACTAGCTAATATACTGACATCTTATGCTAACTAGCTCTACCTCTGTCACTAGAACTAACATTAGACGTAGAACTAGAAACATTCAGGTTTAGCCATCTCAAGAGACGTACGGCTAAACCCGAATGATTCTAGTTCTAGGTCTTGTGTTAGTTCTAGTGATAGTGCTAGTGTAAAACTAGAACTAACACTAGACCTAGAACTAGAAAGTATCGGGTTTAGCCGTGCGTCTTCCGACTTCACTTTGCGCATTCGCCGCTAATTCGTCTTCAACCTCTTGCAATGTAGTTTTTTCTATTATTAATCTTTTCAGCCGATCAAAGACGTTCAAAATCGGCAAACCCACCATCAAAAGAAAACGACTGCAATGATTACATGGCACAGAGTTTTCCAAGAAAATCTGTAACATTTCAAACACATTCCACTTCCCAAGCACACCATGCTTCCAGGCGTTCACAACAAAGTCTGCAAGTTCCAACAGAACGTGAAAGAAGCACAAGTTTGTCATACGATGATATTCGTTTTACATCAACACCTTTCCAACAAAGTTCTTCCGTCCAAATGGGGCATAGTTCTAGAAATACAGAACGGGCTCTCCACGTACCAACCACCCGTAGAAAAAGTACAAGCCCATGTGATGATCCGCGTTATTCTTCATCTCGTATATCAACTTTGACAGTTGAACCGTATAAGTCCAGAGATTCTAATGTAAGAAGTGTGCGATTTGAAACTAATTCAAATTTGGAATACTGCTCAGAATTGTCTACAGCTTCCTCAGTTAAAGATAAGAAGGAAAATGTTAGCGGAAGACGAGGTTCATCATCGACACAATACGATTGCAATGAATATCTGACACCGAGTTTATCTAAAAATTCTTCAGCAGCTCAAACATATTCTACAGTCCAAGCACAGCATGCTTCCAAGCTTTCACAACAAAGTCTGCAAGTTCCAACAGAACGTGGAAGAAGCAAAAGTTCGTCATACGATGATATTCGTTTTACATCAACACCTTTCCAACAAAGTTCTTCAGTTCAAATGGGGCATAGCTCTAGAAATACAGAACGGGCTCTCCACGTACCAACCACCCGTAGAAAAAGTACAAGCCCATGTGATGATCCGCGTTATTCATCATCTCGTATATCAACTTTGACAGTTGAACCATACCATTTTAAAGATTTTAATGTTAGAAGTGTGCGAAGTGAAGCTAATTCAAATTTAGGGTACTGCTCAAAACTGTCTACAGCTTCTTCAGTTAAAGATAAGGAAAATATTAGCGGAAGTCGTGGTTCATCATCAACACAATACGATTGCAATGAATATCAAGCACAGAGTATATCTCAAAACTCTTTAGCAGCTCAAACACAACAAAGTCTCCAAATTCCAACAGCACGCGGAAGAAGCAAAAGTTCGTCATACGATGACATCATTTTTACGTCAACACCTTTCCAACAATGTTCTTCATCTCAAATGGGTCATAGTTCTAGAAGTACCGTACGGACTTTGACAGTCGAACCATTTAAACTAAGAGATTCTGGTGTAAGTAGTATGGAAAGTGAAGATTCTTCGCTTCAAGATGAATATGTAAATGGAAGATGTGATTCATCAATGGGTTCAAGATATCCAAGTTATCTGAATTCTCTACCCGATGGACAATTACCAATTAAAGGAAGTAAAGTAGAAATAGTTTGGGGCTGTGTCAAAATGGGACGTACTCAATCCCAATCGTTTCAAATCCAAAATCAATTGCATCAAAAGATACCCATAGAAGTTTCGGTGGTTGGATCAAATTTTAAACTTATTAAAGAAGGCAATGCATCTCAAGTATTAACAACGCTGGATTTTACTCTTCATGCATATGAAACTAAAACTTTAACGGTTATTTTTCAACCATCTAAAATTGGAGCGATATCAGACAAAGTGGTTTTCTATCCCTGTTCTAATTCAGATAGTAAAAAATTAAAACAAACAATAAGATTATTTGGATATGGTGGACATATTTCCGTAGATTTAACTAAAATGTTTAAAGTCTCTAATGGTCATTTTTGGTTGTCAATGGGTGTTTTTGATCGCGCACCAATAATCCAAAAATTTTCCATAAAGAATACTGGTGTTTTGTCTGCGTTCGCTATAATAGAATTAGAAAACAATGGATTAATGCCAAAATCAACTAATGTGAAAATTAATCCAATGGAAATGGTTTTAAAACCACAACAAGAAGTTAAAGTAACAATAATGTATAGTCCAAAAACAGAAGATTATAAATCACAAAATGATATTATCAATGTAGGATCATTTAAGTTTATATCGGGAGCAGAAGTAGATCGTGCAAGAATAAGAAGATTGTGCAGTATACTATCACAAAAAAATGAAAACATTAATAAAACAATTAAAAGTCTATCTAAACAGCTTCCTGGTGAAGATACTCCAAGAGATTTGGGTATACTGATTGAAGAAACATCAACTTCAATTTATGATCTTTTGAAATGCATAACAGTGAAACAAATACATGTAAATATTGAAAAGAATCCAAATGTTACTATGGAAATGCACAGCAGTTTCTTTAATGATTCTACTATGTTTAAAACTCTTTATCAAGATAGTACGACAATACAGGATGAAAATGAATTTAATAAATCTAATAGATTATTTACAGTCGATCCGAACCGTATCCTATTTTCCTTACCATCTAAAATACATGATAGAATTATCATCCAATCAAAAAGTAAAACTCCTGAAAGGTTTAAAGTTATTGCAACTGAAGGTTTTACAGTGTCTCCGCCCAATGGTGTTGTATCTAGCGATAAATTTGCTGTAATAATAGTTAGATGTACGAGAATGCAAGATGAAGTAGGTAAGCTGCAAGTTTGCATTAAAAATGAAACTTCTGATGTGGATTTAAAAGCTATTGTATCTAGAAATTGAAGAGTTTCATTTTTATAATCTGTTTATTTATTAATATTGTTAATACACTCAATAGTTCTAATTCTATTTTTGTATGTACTTTTTTCAATACATGAAGTTTATACATTTTTGAATGAGTTTTTGATTAATTCATATATAATTATTATACACGATTTTTGTAACCTTAAAATATTATTACAAGGGGGTGAAAAATCAACCCCTATAATACTTTGCATCAGAACTTTTTAATGCACCTATATTTCTTCATTTAAAAACTTGATTAAAGTAGAGGGATTCAATCTGAAATTTTTTTTGTCTCTTAAATGGGAGTAGTCTGGAGCGAACTCTGAAGTGAGGCTGTTACGGCTCCCTGGGCCTAAGTACTATGAAGGAAGTCACCCCCACACGAAACTACATACATCATCAAGAAGCTGGGGTAACTCCTCTTCTAATTAAATAATTGTCAATGACACCAAGACACACATAATGAAAATTAGTGTTAAAAATTGGATTCAACAATTTTATGTGGATTTTCTTCTACCCATATGTGATTGTTTGGAAATTTCTAATAGATTCTTTTGAAAAATGCGCCTCATCAGTAAAGAAAACAGGACATAAAAATTGTGGGGTTTGTGTAACCATTTGAAGAATCCATTGGCAAAAAACTTGTTACAAATTATAAGGACAACAGTTGTTGTTTTAAATCCTGAAAAATATGCTGGAATAGCTTACATTTAATTCTTGGGCAATTTTTTTTGTTACTAGTTCTGAAAGATTCCTCAATTAAATTAAGAACTTCTTCCTCTAGTGCTACAGTTCGCACTTCTTGTAAACGTCCGCAATCGGCAGTGCTTCTTAAAAAATGTTGCAAATATGCTGTGATGGGGTACTGTACTTTCTGGATATAACTCAGCATAAAGCCATCAAGCTTCTAACGTATTTCCATGAGCACGTTCATATACAAAATTCATGTCTGCCATTTCGGCATTTGTGTAGTTTATTTTATAATGTAAATAATTAAAATATTTTCCTATAAAATTTTCTCAAACAATCTGAAGGTAGTTTCAAATTAAGTTTGTTTTGACATTACTGACATGTGAGTTTTAAACCTAACCTCAAATTTAAAACCTTTCTAAGATGTCACGTATAATTGTTAAAAATCTACCTAAAAAGGTAACTTATTCAATAATTTTAATAATATTAATATAAACAGAATGAATGTTTTAGATTACCGAAGAAAAAATTCGCAAAATTTTTGGAGAAAGAGGTTTATTAACCGATGTTCAATTAAAATATACATCTGAAGGAACATTTAGACGATTTGCTTTTTTGGGGTATCAAACTGAAAAAGAAGCACAAGAAGCTATTAAGCATTTTAATAATACCTGTATACAAACTAATACAATTGTTGTTGAAGCTTGCGCAGCTTTAGGTAATTTCCTTTTAATCTTTTATCTTATTTTTTTAAATTTCATTTTCGATTAATTAAGGTGATGTTGCTAAACCAAAATCTTGGAGTAAATATTCTGCTGATAGTTCAGCTTATAAGAAATTACATCCTGAAACAATTCAAGATGAATTAAAGAAAAAGAAAGAGGATAATAAAAAAAGTGAAAAGAAATTGAACAAGGATGATAAAAAAGCTGAAATTTTAAAAAAGGTTATTTTAATTACTTAGTTATTAAGTGGTGATTTAAGTCTTAATATTTATATTATAGTATAAAGATGATCCCCAATTTGAAGAATACCTTCAAGTTCATGCACCCCATGAAATTGAATTATTAAATAATTTAAGGACAAAAAAAGATAGTGATGATGAAAGTGACGATTCATCTGATTCAGGAGTTTCTGAACCAACTAATGATATAAATGAAAATGAAGAGAAAGTGGATACATCTAAGATTAAACAAGAAAAGAAACAAAAACAAAAAAAAGATTTAAAATTATTCAATTTAAAGGTGATTTAATTCCTATCTTTAGATACAATTTAAATTTTTTTATTTGTAGCTGAAAGACTTACCCTATAAATGTAAAAAGAAAGACATAAAAGAATTTTTTAAACCAAATATTCCGTTTTCTATAAGAATCCCACGAAATATTAAAGGTATAGCTTTTGTTGGATTTAAAAATGAGAGGCAAATGAAGAAAGGTTTAATGAAAGATCGTAGTATATTATCCGGGAAAAGCATATCTGTAACTAAGCATATAGATCCAACAAATAAAGGAGATGACGCACAAGATCCTAAGAAAGTCAAATGGAAATCCCAAGAAGAAAAATTAAAAAATGAGGAAGATATTGGAGAATCTGGGAGGATATTTATTCGAAATTTGGCGTATATTACAACTGAAGATGATGTTCAAAATCTATTTGCAGCTTATGGTGAGATGTTACTATTAAAATGCTGTATTATCTAATTTATCTTACTTATTTTAGGTCCTATAACAGAAGTAAACTTGCCAATTGATTCCACATCACGTAAAATGAAAGGTTTTGGTATTGTAACTTTTCTGTTGCCAGAACATGCTGTAAAAGCGTATTCTGAATTGGATGGTTCAATTTTGCATGGGAGAATGCTTCATTTACTTCCTGGAAAAGCAAAGGACGTTCAAGAAAATGAAGAAGAAGGTAAAGTATAATTTATTTTTGATTTTTATTATAAATATTTAGAAATTTTATAATAACTGTTGTTAGTGTACCTGTCTATAAATTATATCTAGATTGTTTTTATAGTAATATCTAGTTATTAAACCTACAATGAGAAACATTTTCTCCACAGTTCTTTGTTATCTCATTAATTTTTTAATTGAAATATTACGCTTTCGGAAATAGTTGGTGGTTTTGTTTATCATCATTGATTATTGTGGCTAGAACTACCTTGATGAAATTCTAATGGAGGAAGTGCTATTCTCCACAAGAATCTCGACAGTCTGAAGTGAGCCCATCAGCAAAGATGGGACGATCTCCACAATGGGTACCTTTTCGCTATGGTGGCTGTGTTCTATTGTACATTGTTATTTGAATAAAATTTGTTTATATAGTTACTTGTTAAGCTTTGCAAACCTTAGAACAGAAGTTATTATATAAGTACATCTATTTTTCAGTACCTAGGTGTAACACCCAACATTTTAATTGGGAAAATGTATTCAAATATCATAATATTACTTTTAAATTAGTTAATCACCCGTTTGGTCAACCTTTGGGTTGTGGAAAATCAAAAAATAAGCACTGGAAAATATCTATGTTTTCAAGATGTGGATGATTTAATGTTTCCTCATAGATTAATAGAACAATACAAAGCAGCAAGTGAATTAGCAAATAATTATATTGTTGGTGGGTCACTTTATCTACTGATAGTACTCTATGACAGTATTGTCATAAATGAAGCTGAACAAAATTGCAATAACAAAACGTTGAGTATTTAACAATACATAATACAGACCAAATAATCTAAATAATATAATTAAGTTAAATTATGTATTCTTTAAAATATAGACTGTAAATATCACTCAACCTATCTTCTGTATTTTTCATTTTTAGGAAACATAAATTATAAAAAGCAGAAAGAAAAAAAGCAAAAAGCTCAAGCCGGATCATCACACAATTGGAATTCATTGTTTATGGGGCATGATGCAGTTGCTGAAGCAATGGCAGGAAGTTATGGAACGAGTAAAAAAGCGGTTTTAGATCCTCACGGACAAAGTAACGCAGCCGTTAGATTAGCCCTTGGAGAAACACAAATCGTAACAGAAACCAGAAAATATTTGGAAGCTGAAGGAGTTATTTTAGATGCTTTTAGTGGGGTAATAATATCACTGTTGACTTAAAAAATGTGGTTTTATGAATAATAAAAAAAACATTGTATTTTTAGGGGTCAATTAAACGCTCAAAAACTATTATTTTAGTAAAAAATCTTCCAGCTAATACTGAAATAGTGGAATTAAGAAGAGTTTTTGAAAAGTATGGTATTGTAGGTAGAGTGGTTTTGCCTCCAAAGGGAATAACTGGTACAGTTTTTTATATGTTATTTACAAAATAGAATATACGTTAATTTTGTTTTTTTAATTTTAGCAATAGTGGAATTTATTGAACCAACTGAAGCTAGAAAAGCGTTTTCATCGTTAGCTTATTCACAATTTAAAAGTGTACCACTTCTTCTTGAATGGGCCCCCGAAAATAGTTTACAGGCGAAATCTTTAAGCAAAAATAATAAAAATCAATCTATAACAAATGTGAACAATGAGAATTCTAATGTACAAAGCGAAACGGAAAACGTTTCTGAATCAAAACAAGAAGAAAATGAAGTGGAAGAAGAAGAAATTATTGAACCTGAACCAGATACAACTTTGTTTGTTAAAAATTTGAATTTTAAAACAACTGATGAGGACCTAAAAAGGCATTTCGAAACTTGTGGTAAATTGTATTCTGCAATGGTCACAATGAAAAAAGATATGAATAATCCCGGAAATAAGTTATCAATGGGTTATGGTTTTGTTCGATATTTTCTTAAATCAAGTACTAACAAAGCTTTAAAAGAATTACAAGGAAGTTCATTAGACGGAAAAACTTTAGAGTTAAAACGATCGGAAAGAACTTTAGCGTAAGATAATAACATCAATCATTTCTCTTCACTTATTTATTTCTCTACATTAGGAATGACGTTATAACTACTCGTAAAGTAACGAAAAAAGGAAAACCAACGGGTTCGAAGCTTTTAGTTCGTAACGTTCCTTTCCAAGCCAAAAAAGAAGAACTTTTTGAATTATTCAAGTAATTATTTTTCTTCATTATCCGACTTTTTTAATTAATACTAATTTTTACCATTTTTTTAAAGAACATTTGGCGAGATAAAGGCGTTAAGATTACCCAAAAAAATGACCGTGGGTGAAACAACTCATAGAGGATTCGCTTTTGTCGATTATTTCACTTCAAGTGATGCTAAGGTAAGAAAAATAATTTAAAAACTCCTTTTTATATTTTAATATTTCTATTTTATATTAGAAAGCATTTGAAGCTTTATCACAAAGTACTCATTTGTACGGTCGAAGACTTGTTTTGGAATGGGCTACAACTGAAGAAGGAATTGATGATCTTAGAAAAAGAACAGCATCTCACTTCCACAATGAAGAAGCTCCAAAATCAAAGAAGAGTGTTTTTAATATTGATTAAAATAAGATTTAATATGGTTTTAATATTAATAAATAATATTAGTCAAGTATTTTGCATTATGTTATTATGAATTAATTTTTTTTTTAGAATGTGATCTTTGTTCATTGAATTTTCGCGGTTTGTGCTTCAATCATCAAGATATTAACAATATTATTTTACAAATGTCTCTAATAATGCCATTGGAGTGATGTTGTCACAAATCACCTCATTCTCATTATTAATCATTATTAACAGAAAACGAATTATTAGCAGTACTTAAGGTTGATCATTTTAGGCGATATCTTGTAGACCAAAAATTTTCTGAACCTGGACAAAGTAACATCCAAGAAGCAGTAGATGCTGTGCATAGTCTTATAGAGAGAAAAATGCTTTTTATCGAAAATTTTAGACCATTGTCATTACTGGCATGGTTCACACATTCAATTGAGAGCACCCTCCATTGAAGGTAGATCTATTAACCTCAAAACCGAAGTCAAATACCTAGGGGTAATACTAGACAGTAAACAAAACTGGAACTTCCACTTAGTCAAGATGAGGAAAAAGGCCATCATGGCTAACCTAACATCTGCCGCAATCTCCTTGGAAGGCACTGGGGTCTTAAACCACGAATGGTATGCTCTTCACTTAAGTTGATGCAGGGTAACATCACAGGACACCTCGAAATCCTCAAGGACCCAAGTCTAAACCACTTGATTGAAAGAAAAGAAGAATATAATTTCGACCAGCCGTATAAGGTCATATTTAGAAGGAGCAGGGATGTTTGGGCGAAGGGTGAGCCTCAACTTACAAGTGGAGCCGTTGCCTGGTACACTGATGCTTCAAAGACAGTGGGATCCGGAGTAGGTAATGGCATTAGTGGACCAAAAATCCTCAGCTCCGACATAACCATTTTCAAGCAGAAGTACTTGCTATAAACTTCTGCATCGTTTTGAATCTAGAAAAGAGACAATAAGGTGCATCGATAAATATTTTTACGGACAGTCGGGTCGCCCTAAAAGTAAGTCAGGCCTAGCAGTAACCTGAGAGAACTCGATAGGGGGTAATGATGTTACTCTATGATGGATTCCAGGTCACAAAGACATTGAGAGCAATGAAAGGGCGGACAAGCTGGCCAAAATTGCAGCGAGAACGCCTTACATTGGACCCCAACCCGGCTGTGGACTACAAAAAAGCCACTTAAAACAGGTAATTAATTGTTTGGAAGTCTCAAAGGTAGCCTTCCGCTGGAAAGAACTTCTAAAATACTACCTCTTCCATATTGGACAAGCTGAGGATCAAACTTGTCGACTTAGCAACGACGAGTTAGAGACTGCTGAACATATACTGTGTGAATGTGTCGTCAGAGGCTGCCTTAGACACAAAATTTTCGGTAAAGTTCGCCTGACACCTACCGACATAAAGGAACAAGGCCTTAGGGCAATACTAAGGTTCACAAAGGATCTGCATCTAAACTTTTAGAGGGCTTAAGTTACAATAGATCTTATAGGTCGCGGTGATGAGAGGGGTTGCTGAGCTGCTCCCCTCAGCCTGGCAACAATAATGGTTCACACATTTTTATAGTTAATCTGTTTTGAAAACTTTTGATAATGAATATTATTTTTAGGCTTTTTCATTATTGAATTTTGTGCATGAGGCCCCTTTAATTAAATTGCATGAGGATTCACAATGAACATGTCATGTTTCTTTTTGAGGTTAGAATAGAGAATTTGGAATAAAGCTCCTACATACTATAATAAAATAAGTAATTAAATAACAAACAATTAAATCAGAAGTCTTGAATACTTCCTGGCAAGCAAATTAAAGAGCCTCCACCTTCTTTTTTTTAATTTACTAATTTTATAGTGGTAATATCCATACAAAAATGTGAGAATTTCTCACATTTTTTTGTGGTGTATTCTCACTGAGCATACACCACTCCAGTTAATTTCGTAACCTTTTATACTAATTTTATCTATAAATGGTTATTTTGCAGAAATACTTGATTTATTTGTTAATGAGGTTATGTCTAAAAAGTCAGCTGTTGAGAGGATTAATCTTTAAACCGACTATTTTAATGTATATTCAATGGATATAGTAAGTAAACATTAACAAGAAGTTTTTAAATTAATAATAGTCTCTTTTAGTCCATAATAATTCCAATTTATAACGGCGAAAAGTTTATTGATTCATGTTTTAATAGTATATTATACCAAGAAATTGCAAATCTTAATGTTGAAATATGTGTTTGCAATGATGGAAGTATAGATAATACCCCAAATTTATTATCGAATTGGGAAAACATATTCAAATCTCATAACTTCACTTTTAAACTAGTTAACCACCCATTTGGTCAATCTTTGGGTTGTGGAAAATCAAAAAATTCAGCTGTTTCAATAAGCACTGGAAAATATCTGTGTTTTCAAGATGTGGATGATTTAATGTTTCCTCATAGATTAATAGAACAATACAATGCAGCAAGTGAATTAGCAAATAATTATATTGTTGGGTCACGAATTGTAAGAGAACCCAAAAATTCAACTGTAAGGTATACAAATTGGGCTAACAACTTAGATGATAATAAATTGGATGTACAAATATTTACTTCTAATGGACCAACAATAATTATGCCAACGTGGTTTATGCATAGAAGTATATTTCACAAAATTGGTGGTTTTTCTGAAAAGGTAAAAGGAGAACCTGAAGATTTGATATTCTTTTATAACCACTTGGATTTAGGGGGAAAATTACATAGGGTTAATCAAGTTTTAGTTTCTTATACTTATCATACAAATTGTACAACTCATTCTATTCATGAGTAAGTATTTTAAAATAATACACCAGTTGTATTTATTTCCAATATTTTCAGAGACATTATTTGGGATGTAAGAATAAAACGATTACAAGAAAAAATATTAATTGATTGGAAAGAATTTACTATATGGAATGCTGGGAAACAAGGACGAAAGTTATTTAAGTCATTATCAGAAGAGAATCAAAAGAAAGTTATTGCATTATGTGATGTTGATAGTAACAAAGTTGGAAAATATTATACTCCTTTTGATTTAAACCTTAGAATAAGTAAAAAACCTATTGAAATTATTCATTTTTCAAAAGCAAAGGCACCGATTATTATATGTGTTAAAATGGTACCTATAAAACTTATTAACTAATTTATTGTTATATTTTTTTTTTCTAGGATATGACCAATGGAGTATTTGAGGACAATTTAAATTCATTGAACTTACAAGAAGGAAAAGATTATATTATATTTAGTTAAAATGTTAAATAAATTTCCTAATTTTTTTTTAAACATTTTCAAAAGATGGCGCTTTTGCATTCCAAACTTTTTACTAAAAATATTGTTATACTGCTTATAACAATAATAACTCATTATCAAAACATCCTCATAATAAGATAATTATAAAAAATTATTAAGTTAATAATTTTTTTAACCTATATTTAGTGGTATTACGTATTAAACAGTTGGTAGCAATGAAATACAAACGTCAAATTCGTACACAGCTCGTCAATATGTCAAATCATTATTACATTTAATTTTTCATAACAAATTCGTAGATTGAAGAATTCGACACGCACTTGTGAGAGTATAATGAGTTATTAAAGTTAAATGAGTGAAAATTAAAAGTAAGAAAACATGTCGAATCCGTTTGCTGCACTTTTCGGTGAAAACAGTAGAAGTAGTACAGATTCTACTAGAGCAAACGTAATATGTGATACAATAGAAACTGTGTTTGGATTTACGTTGAATAGATCTAGGGCGATTGAAAGGAACCTTTTGTACATGAGTGATTTGTCTGTTTCATTTAATACCGAAGTGATTACACTTGAAATATTAGAGCATGCACTGTTTGAAAGGCTACTTATAGACGATTTTGAACAGTACCTGATTGGAAATGAAAAGGATAAATACGAAACGAAGGTTTTTATTTATCTGTTTAGATGTTATAACAATAATCTGGATGTCAAGGATAGTTCAGTACAAGAAGTAATAAAAATGTTAATCCTTCGTAATGTTCTAACATCTTTAAAACAACCGGAACTGTACCATGTACAAAACGTTTTTGCTCAATTATATGATATTATGAGAAATGCTGAACCAAATTCCGAAGTATTCTTTCAAGATGTTTATCAAGCTGCTTTAAAAGATGAAGGTAATGTTACATTAATATCAAAAACTTATAATAATTTATTTTTTTATTTATTTTTAGATGGCTTTGAGGGAATGAAAGAGGCTTACATAGCCTTTTTAAAACGCATCCATGTTGATATTGCCAAATCCACATTAATGTCCTTTAACTTTAGTGTTTTTAACATATTGATGTTGTACACAAATCATGAACACTTGGCACTAACTCTTTTAGAATACTCTAAGCCAAGAATAGAAAAAACCGGGGCTGAGTATGCAAATACTCTTTTAGGTGCATTATTTTGTGTATCAATACTGCCAAAAACTGGTCATTCCGAATTTGAATATTTTCAAAACCCTTTAGACCAGGTATTGAATTAAAGACTTGATTTTTTTAATAAAGATTTAAAAAAAAAATCATTTTTTAATTCTTTTTTGTTTTAGCCAAGCACTACTGCCCAGGAAGGAGCTCTTCAATCTAATATGGCAACAATCACCCAACACATCCATTCCTTTTTTTTAAATCTTCTAAAACGTAGTCCAAATGTAAAATCAGGCACTCTCCAATGGCTTGGTGATTGTTTGAAATCGAATGCAGATCGTGGTAAAATTTGGGCCAGCCAAGCAGCTGATTTCCCAAATCCCACTGCTTTTAATAATGTTAGTGATGGATATATGTTAAACATGTTAATGGTGATTATAAGGCTTTGCCAACCATTTTGTTCCCCTGGTAATGAGGCAAAAATATTAAAAGTAGACCCCACTTATTGTGCAGTAGAGGTAATAATAATTATAAAGTAGAGGTTTAAAAAATTAATTGTTTTTGTTATTTTAGGAGGAACATTGCGCAACCAAAGGGGTACATCTAACAAATTTATCCAAAGAAACTTGTTTAGTTCCAATTGAAACCGAAAACTCACAAGAAGTTCAACATCGATTGACCGCTTCCAGTTATAATTTTGTTACCGAATGTTTCTTCTTGGGACATAAAGCTTTTGATTTAGGTTTTAGGGTGGTAGTTGATAAATTAGTTAAATTAAATCAGGTACTTAACTCAAAAAAATCTGTTTGTTATTCCCAGTATTATAATGTTGTTATAATGTTCTACCTACATTTTTTTTTTTGTAGGAAATGGTTCGAATAGAACGCTTGTATAATGAAGCTGTTAACCAAAGTCATGGTACAAATGAAACTATGGATGTTATTAAGGAACGAATGAAAACTGAAATGCAAAAGTAAGTTTTTAAAACTATACAGGTGTGTCTAAATTGATGCGAAAGTTTTTAAGGGGTGATTTTTCGACGAAAATTAAGTGGGGTCTTTCATATTCCTTTTTGGTCAAAACCTCTTCTCCTCCAAGTTATAGTCCTCTACAGTTAAGGGTACAAATCTGCAACTTTTTTATCTCTTGACATTTTACAACTAACAAACTGTTAGTTTGATCACAAAAAATACAATAATGCTGTGACCAATTTGACATAACTTTATTTCTTTGACTAATAATAACCAATATCTGATTTAAAATTCACCTGAGCCTTTGTATTATTTTATTTTTTTTGTGATCAAACTAACAATTTTAGGAGAAAATGTCAAGAGACAAAAAAGATGCGTATTGAATCCCACTATTTAAATCAAGTTTTTAAGTAGAAAAATGTAGATATATTAAAAAGTTCTAATGCAAAGTATTATGGGGTTGATTTTTTCAGTCTCCTGTAAAAACATATTAGGGTTATAAAAATCGTCAAAAAATGTTACCTTATTAGTAATAGTTATCTGGCAAATTTCATCCTTCCAAATTCTTCCATAGTGGATTTATTAAAGAAAAACAATTTTTTCCCCTAATTTTAGAGGGTTTATAATATTTATTAGTTTGACTTAAAAAAGCTAAAAGACAGAAAATATTGAGCAATATACAAAAGACAAATTAAAAACTAAAACAGATTTACCTAAAATTGTGATTACAATAAATGACAAATATCTCACTTAAATGATCAAATAGGAAACTTTGTCTGAATGCATGTAAAACATTCTTATACATTGAAGAACTTCATTCCACTTCCACTGAAGTTATAGGTGCAAATTTAAATGCTAGTGCTTCACTGAGGTTATTTCTGTGGATCCTTTACTCAAACATGTAGACATTTCTTTCAAAATAGAAAAACCACGACTCCTTGAAATAACCATAACCATTTTTTCATTACTAACTTAGCAGCTTCACTGTTTATGCTATTAATTAAGTCCTGAGCTTATGTCACTACATCAACCTGTGTAGAGAGCGGAAGCCCAGCTGTTTCCAATATACAGGATGATTCACATAAGAACTGACACAGAACACGGACATGTAGAGGACAATAAATTAAAATGATTTAACACAACTTATCTCTATACTAAGTTTTACCCCTGAAGAGTTATAGGCCTTCAATGTTGGCTCTTAAATTTTTAAAACATTCAATATCTTCGTAATACATTAATCTAGAAAAACCAAATTTGGTAGACGTTATGAGTATACCGAGGATATTAATTGGTAGCAAGTTGAGACCAATTGAGGCATTTCAAAGGGTTGATTAAGGGTAATTAAGGACGTAATGAAGGTTGTGTGCAAGACAAGTTAAGTGTGTCACTTTTAGATAAAAAGTATCTATGGTCTGAGCTGTTTTTACCATATAGGGCGTAGCATCTGATAGAAAGAGTAAAATCATGTCTCTATTGAAACTCTCACCAAAAATCTTAGTAGAATTATCGAAAAGCCTTGCAATAGTGCTATGATTCGCTTTATCAAGTACCAAACAAAAATTGTTGTTTAGCGATTAACTCATCATGATCCAAAATACCAATAATGACATTTACCACATATCTTCCTGTTGCATCTTGCTGTCGATTGAAATCCACAAAAAGGGACTATTGATGCATTGTATGTGGTCTGTGGTATTTTTGTGAAGTTCCTTCATATTTTGTGCGAAGGGTATTTTTCAATTATACTTTGTAGATACTCTGTGTATGATTCTAGGAACGATACTAATTTTTTTGTTGCGCATTTTATATAGGGGTATATCAACGGAAATTAATGCGCTACAGCTTCTGCAAATTAAACATCTTTTGATTTATATGTGGAAAACATTATTCATAAACATAAACTCATTATTTGTTTTCTCCAGTTCTATGTGTTTTAAACTTGCTAGACGCTGTTTTACCAACAATATTTTCACGGCTGACACAGATTTGTTGCACACTTTGCAAAAAAGTACCATATCATCAATCTTGAATACCGGATATTCACGCACCTATTGGAATAATTGTCCCAAGATGGATGACTTCACTTTCGGCATAATTCTACAATAATTTTCTTCAATAAATGTCGAAACAGCTAATGTATTGCACATTTCTATATTATCAAATCGACTAATCAGCTGAGGTTTTATTTTTATGATTATTTCTTGTAAAATCATCCTCGATACATTTTTTTGAAAGTTTTTCACAAATATCAACAAGTCCATTCGCTAAAGGGATTACAAAAGAACCTGTGGCATAGTTTTCTGCACTTATAATTTTAGTAATTTTTTCGAATGGTTTTTGTGGTTTCTGTTCTCGCATAATTTCTGGCACATTTTTCATTCATCTGAACTTAATAGAGAAATATCTGCATTAAATATTGCTATGGTAGTTCTAATGGCAGTTTCTAATTCGACAAATCACTCAACATATAATAAGTCGAATTCCAGCGGGTGGAAACATCTTGCAACAATTTTAATAGCGTTTTTCCGGAATTTTCTTGATAATTTGATGATTTTTCATTTTATAATACTGCTCCTTTTAAAGTGAGAGACGATCCTTTTTATTTTTGATATCAGTAGGGAAATATGAGATGTTTCCAAACAATTTACAATACTAAATTTATTGAATGAGCAAAACATTCAAAATGGTTCAGTTTTAGTTTAGCTGTGATAGCATTTTTAATATTCGATGCATTATCAGAAACAACTAATATAACTTTATCTGCTATTCCAATCTGAAATTATGTTTCTAATTTCAATAGCTAAGTTTTTACCTGTATGGTGTTCTTCCATTATTTTAGAATGTAGTAAAATCGTTTTTAATTCAAAGTTTTCATTTATGCGCTGTTAAAGCTATATAACTTTTGGTGTTTATGGAAGTCCAACAGTCGGTTGTCAGACATAAGTATCTACAGCCTCTTACCATTTCTTGGTATTTTAAGTAGCATTTTTCGAATAAAAGGTATCTCATATGATTTATTTATTAATCCTTTGTCTTTAACTACACTAAATGGTTGAAAATCGTCGGTAAATAATCATAGTAAATTATCGCCATTGGATTTTGATGTGAAAGTATTTACCCTCGCCGGTGAATATCCTGTTATTGTTTGCTGGTGTTGTTTATTAGTTAGTAATCCCTGAGAAGTAGATGGTAAACTTGAAGTAACTTCTGAAGTAACATGTTTCACAGTTTGTGATCGACCATATTTCTCTTTCAGCGATATAGTACGATGATTACGTTGGTTTTAAATGATAAAATCTTAATATAGCTTAATAGCTCTTAATATCTTTCTTAAGAATGTTCAGTTATATCTATTATTAATTATTATAATTGTTTCAATGAATTTAAAACTCTCCAACGTTTGATCAAATCTTGCACCAACAAGTTTGTATTAAGACTATCAAAATTATACTATATTTTATATTCTAAAACATTTTTATTACAAAAAAATTGTTTTTTTCAGATTCTTTTCCATAAAAACCACATTATCCGAACCTACGTTAGTAGATATGTTATTTTATTTTACATCAGCGACATCAATGTGGTTTAATCAAGTAGCAGTTAACAACAACTTTGAAGAGCACTACGCCCCATTAAAAGAGGTTCAATTAAAATTTCCTCTACCAGAACCGATTCCAGATACATTAAAGTAAGAATTATTATAAGACATAAAAAACCATTAATGCAATTTTTATCTTTAGGTGCATTCCAGAATTTGTAGTAGAAAATGTGGTTTGTTTCTTAGTATTTTTACGCAGATTCAATCCGAAAATATTTGAAATCCAAGGTTACGGTCGGATGAAACCGATTTTAACGTTTATTTTAATATACATGAGTTCTCCGGAACGTATGAAAAATCCTCACATGAGGGCTCGTTTGGCGGAAGCTTTAGAAGCTTTGTTACCGTTTCATAAAGATGAGCCGGTCGGTTTGAATACTTTAGGTGGATTTCAACGGGAGTTACTTTTCAAAACGCACGAACATCGACAACAAATTGTTGGTAGTTTATTGGAGGTTTTTGTTGGGATTGAAATGACAGGGCAAAGTGTGCAATTTGAACAGAAATTTAATTATCGACGTCCAATGTATTTAGTTATGGATTATTTATGGGAACTACCTGAGCATCAATCATATTTTAGGCAAGTACAATAAAAAAGATTCTATTTTCTTAAATTTGGTATTTTTGAATTGATTTGAATCTCTAATTACAATTGATTTTAGGCAATTAGCTGAATATGCTGAAAAGAATATGGATGCTGTAACCCCACCTTTGTTTTTAAGATTTGTCAATTTGCTCATGAACGACGCTGTATTTTTGTTGGATGAAGCATTGGCTAATATGGCCAAATTAAAAGAGTTACAAGCTGCAAGGTAAATTTTCCCAAAAATAATTATTTTTGTCTTACTGAAAGATTTTTATTTTAGGGAAACTGGCGAATGGAATAGTTTATCAGCAATGGAGCGTAGTCAAAATATGGGTTACCTTCATCATATAGGAATGATAGCTCGTTTTGATAACATTTTAGGAAAAGACACAATTCGCACATTAGTTAATTTAACATCGAAAATAACGATTGTTTTTACACATTCCACAATGGTCGATCGTATTGCAGCTATGTTAAATTATTTCCTATTAAAATTAGTTGGGCCAAATCAAAAAAATTTTAAAGTATAATCTAAAAATCATAAAAAAATCACTTTAATTTGATATAATTTTTATTAGGTTAGAGATAATAAAGAATATAGTTTTGAACCAGCTGCAACAGTTTTGGATATATGCAAAATTTATGTCCACTTGAAAGAAAGTGAAGCGTTTTGTCTGGCGGTATCCCAAGATGGGCGTTCCTACAGTCCGCAATTATTTAAACAAACTGAAGACGTATTGGTAAGAATAGGTGGCGGAGTTTTAGTGGGCGAACTTCAAGATGTCGCGGCAAAAGTTGCGAAGAAATCTGCGGAATATCAAGCTAATGAAGACTTGGTAGCTGAGGCACCTGAACATTTCTTAGATCCAATTATGTCTACTCTTATGACTGATCCTGTAATACTTCCAAGTTCAAAACAAATTGTTGATAGGACCACTATTGCTAGGTAAAGAGATTAAAAAATTATAAATTTTGATAACTTTAAAACAAAAAATCCTTTTTAGACATCTTTTGAGCGATCAAACCGATCCTTTCAATCGATCGCCATTGACTCTTGACCAAGTTATTCCCAATAAAGAATTGCAACAGGAAATAACACAATGGGTTAATGAAAGAAAAGCTGGCACAAGTAGTTAATTTTTTATAGGTAGATGTTTATACATTGTTATATCGTTTTTATTTTAATAAACTTCTTAGGAACGTGAAATTTAAAAACATACGTTATGAATTAAACATATCCTTGTAAATTTAGTTCCAGCATGATCCGGATTTATATCATGAACCTTTAATAGCCTTGTTGTTTTCGAAAATCCTATAAGAAACCAATAATCTTGTACATCCTTATTAATAAACTTAATACCATCGCAAACTTTAAAAAATCTGTTTGTGCATAAGTTGTATGTTTTTGGAACAGAAAATTAGCATACATTATTCCCAAAAAAAGTTATTAAACCTTAGTTATTTTTTGTATTAAGGTGATTTGCAGAATTCCAATATTGAAGTGTTACAACTTTTGTTTATCAATACTGATCAATAATTTTGCCTTGACATACATCATAGGATTTTATATGTATATTACTTTAATTATAACAAGAGAACAATATTTCATTTGAAAGCTTGATCCTCGGGCAATACGAATTTGGAAACACTCGTTCCATACGAAATGAAACATTTAGCATTTAATAATTAGTTGTTTTCGGGGTAGTCTTGTTTTATACAAAAAGTTTGGTTGAAAATATATGTTTGATGAAAATAAATCATAATATATCATTTTATTTTTTTAGATTAAATATTTTTCGGGATTTTTTTTCTTTATATAAATTTGTACAGAAATGTATATTTAATAAAAATCATCAGAAGTACTAAAAAGAAACTCCTTCGAGCCGGATTTGAACCAGCGACCTATGGATATCAACTAATCGTATCTTCTACAGTCCACCGCTCTACCAACTGAGCTATCGAAGGATGTTATAATTTAATATTCCCGCAAAAGTCGTCAAATACTCTACTTTCTCTCATTCTATTGTAATTAATAAGTTTAGAAAAGTGAATCATAAAAGACTCATCCCAATTTAAAAAATGAGAAAAAACTTACTTGATGATTGACGTTATAAAACAAAACTTACTTTAGCCAACGTTCTTTTCCGGAATGATTGACAGTTCAAAAAAACTGACCTTACTCAACATTCTTTCCCCTGTTGATTCACACATTGTAAACAAAACTAACCTTACCTAACAACCCTTAGTTGTAAACGAAGCTAATCTTATGACCTGTACAAAATTGAAAATTTTCATCAGAAATTCATTTGTTGCAACTAACTAAGGTTGGACTTTAATTTCGAAATGTTCTCCATCCCAAGAAAAGTGAAAAAACGACTTTCTAAATATGTCTAACAATAGCATATAATTAGTTATGATCTGAATTCCATTTGCTAATAGCAAAGGTGATAGAAGACATTTCTTTTTATAGTAATTATTATAGTATTGTATTACTAGCTGTAGCAAAGAAAACTATTTGACAAACTTTCTAGGTTAGTTCTAGTTTTAATTGTTATTAAGCACGTTAAGCATTCGGNTAGCCATACGTCTCTTAAGACCGCTAAACCCGAATGATTCTAGTTCTACGTCTGTTGTTAGTTCCAGTATTAGTTCAATAGAAATATGCAACATAATGATATTTTAAAATGTTTCTGGTTTTAGGTCTAGTGTTACTTCTAGTGCTAGTGTTAGTCTAATTTTATTGGTTATTCAGCACTAGATTGTTGTATATTTTTATTGAGCTATAACGGACATTGCGTTCCCCGTATTGATCCGTTATATCGAGGTTTTACTGTAATGTCAAATTATATCGATATATGGCAATATATCTTGCATTTTATGTGGGGGAAAGCAAGTAGGTACACCCTGGTTTCTATGGAAATATATTTTTGTATATTGCTTGTTAAGGGAAATTCACTGTATATCACAAAGTGTAAAGTTAAGTTGATCATTAAGTGAAGTTGCTGATGCAAACGCAGCAGGCCCATCTTCCATGAACCAGTAGCAACCCGACAACCACCTTGCCTACGTGAACAAATTCAAGCTCAATTTCAAGAAAGAGGATGTCAAATTTAAGAAATATAAATTGTCAAATTGTAAACATACAACATCATAAGTTTATCAACCTTTGACATCAACCTCAACATCTCATTTTCACAATTGTTGCCAGATTTGGGCGATTTACATCGATTCTTCTAGCATTTTTCAAAACATTCAATTATAACCCAACAATGCATATTGACAAAATATTTCCTAAGTCCTCCGTAAATCCTCGTTCTTCTTTTTGTCCATCACCACGGTGGCATTACCTTTGTCTTGCCTTTCACCTTCATTTATAATTTTTTCTTTTTTGATGTTCTAAGGACATGTATTTTTTAATTTTTGTTTTATCTTTTCTGGAATCTATTCTATTTTGAGGTGTTGCAATAGCTTTTTAGTTCCATGTTGTAGGTTTTTGTAAATTTAGAGATTATATAATTATTGTGGACCAAATATTATGATTATTTGCCAAGAAGAATAAAACTACATTAATATTCTCATAAATATCTTCTTTTCGCGAAAACCATAAATTATCAAGTAAACTATAACAAGGCAGGTCTCACTCGGCCTCTTCACATTTAATCTGACAATAGATAAAATAATATAAAACCTTTTCAGAACAGCTGGATTCAAAATGAGAAACACGTTCTTCCATGCAGTCTGCGATGCTGACGATGCTGCCCTTATTGCAGATTCTGAGGACAACCTCCAAAGGTTACTACATTCTTTTAACATCAAAACAAAAGAAGTAAATATGTTCATCAACACCGAGAAGACAAAATGTTTAGTAATATCCAAGGAACCGATAAGATGTAACCTGAAGATCGAATCCAAGACTTCCTCATAAGCGACAGACTCGTTTAAAACGCAAAAATGAATAACCCAGCAGAAAAAAAGATCACAGGGAAGACCACCAAAACGATGAGGAGAATATTGGACATCATCTTCCAGGGAGGACGTATTGGCAATGAGCAGACAGTAGCTACCAATATGGATATCCATGTAATTTCGTGACTGAGATTCTTTTCAGTTTCTTTTTCATAATCATCAAGATAATCCGTGTTTAACGCAACGTTATTCTAGTATTAACACTTTCTGATTGGCCCATACATCATGTTAGTGTTCCATTAATTTTACCTAAAATTATAGTCTTATTACCTTTCCATATTTATTTACAAATTTTTGTTAAAACGAAATTTCACAAGCTAAAAGCGGTATTTCTTTTGCTTATTTTATTTCTTGGTGGAGGAGCCGGGTGTAATAAAATGACTAGGGATAGTCATTGCAGTATATTATTGTGGTTATTTCTCAAACAGGATATTATTACTTATGCTATATATTTATTATTCTTATTCGACAATTACAATGATTGATTGAAAGTTCTTCCTTTGTTGTGTTAAAAAGGTATATAACAAGTTTGAATGAGAAATGATAAATTAAAAACCAAAAAAACCTTTCATTTGACTGATCATCAATTCATTTCAGATCCAAAAAATTTAATTATTCCCTCTCGGAAAGTCTTTTCCTCTTTCCTTGTTCATATTTATTTTTTTCTTCTGAACACAAACACGTTCAAGTATCGATCTACGCAAAAACTACCCTAACAAGGGTTGTTCGTCGTTTAATCTTACGACGAAACAATCTTAAAAGGGAGTAAATCCCCTGAAGGTAAATGTAAGAAAGAGGGGGAACTTTTGCAAGACTGTAAAAGCACGTAAAATGCGGACGCAAGAGGATATCAAACAAAACCATGGTCCGGCCATCTGGTCGGGATGATATCCCCCTGCATAATAAAAGGCGTCACGCTCGCTCCTGCAATGCACCCGTGGGGAACGCGCGCAATGTGACCCCAGAGTGCGTAGTGAAAAGGTGGTAGGTACGAAGAAGGGAGCTTATTTAAATTATGAAGGGTCGAAATTTAAATTAAAAATAGCGAACATATTTTGTATGGGAACAAAAAAATTATTTCTATAAATAGAATGAATGGAAAGAATTTTGCTAGAACTAGAAAGTTACGGGGTATGTGTTTTTAAAGTTAGCAATGTATTTTTAGGATGCAACATGTCTAAATGTTTCTAGTTCTAGATTTAATGTTAATTCTAGTGACAGTGGTAGGTAGCGCTAGATACCGTAAAATATCACTATGTTGCATAATTTGTATTGAATTAAAACAAAATTAAAAAAAAAATTGATAGTGCTAGTGCTATACCAGAACTAACACTAGCCCAAGAACTAGAATCATTCGGATTTAGCCGTCTTGAGAGATGTGCGGCTAAATCTGAATGATTCTAGTTCTAGGTCTTGTGTTAATTCTGTGATAGTGTAAAACTAGAACTAACGCTAAATCAAGAACTAGAAACATTCGGGTTTAGCCGCACGTCTCTCAAGACGGCTAAACCCGAACGATTCTAGTTCTAGGTCTTGTATTAGTTCTAATGATAGTGCTAGTGCTGTGTTGAATCCTAAGAAGACAGAGTTGATTCTTTTCACACAGATGAGGAGTTTGGCAAGCCCAGAATGCTATCCCTTGCTAATACTCCATTGGTGTTGTCAAAAGAAGTCAAATATCTGGGCATCACACTTGACAATAAAATGACATGGAGGTCCCACCTAGGTAATAGAGTAAAAAAAGCGTACGTTGCATTCGGTCAATGCCGGAGGGATATAGGTAAGACATGGGGTTTGTCACCCAAAAATGCCCTCTGGATTTACACGGCTATAATCCGACCTATGCTTACATATGGTGCAGTAGTATGGTGGTCAAAGACCTTAGAGTCTACATCCACTGCTGCACTTAATAAAGTACAGAGACTTGCGTGTTTGTATGTTACAGGTGGACTACCCCCACTGCAGCCATGGAAAACATGTTGAACCTAACCCCACTTCATTTGTTCATTCAAGAGGTAGCATTGGTGACCATGATTCGACTGCGACCAGCAGGAATTCTAATGGGTGAGAGATATAGTAAAAGTGCTATTCTCTGGAATGAAATGGTAGACTACTCACCAATTCTGGAATGTATAACGGACTTCACACCCCTTCAACACGTTTTTACGAAGAAATATCTCACCCACCCAAGTTACACAGAAGTAGAGCTAAAAAACTGCCTTAAAATCTACACTGATAGTTTAAGGAGACGGGAAGGAGCTGGAGCCGGAGTCTTCTCGTACGATCTCCGACTCCACGTATCCGAACCTCTAGGTAAAAGTACCACCGTCATACAGGCGGAATTAATCGCCATACAACTTGCCGCTGACGTTATTGTCAGATCCAACTTGGTAGGTAAGACTTTTACAATTTATACTGATAGTAGACAAGCCATTTTGGCCCTGAGTAGAATAACAATTACTTCAGGACTTGTTATGGGTTGTCATCTGACATTGGAGAAGGCCGCAGTGCATAACTGTGTTATACTTCAATGGATAAAAGGACACTCGACTTGTTCAGGTAACAAGCACGCTGATAGGCTTGCCATGTTCGCCTGAACCGATAATCGCTCCGTCCTTATCAACTCAGATTGAGATAATTAAAGATTTTACTCACAAAAAGTTTATGAACTGGTGGGATATGGTTAAAGGCTGCTATCTGTCTAAGGAAGTATTACATTATCCTTCAGCAGAGGCAGCCTTGTCTTTCGTAAGGCTTGGTAGGAACGCTCTACGAACTGTAACAGGACTCGTCACGGGTCACTGTAAGATAAACAAGCATCTTTATAACCTTAAGCTTGCTGTTAGCCCTCTCTGTCGCCTCTGTAAAGAGAGCGAGGAGACGGTCCGACACATCTTGTGTGAATGCCCCACTCTGCAAGACCTCAGAATGAGAGACTTCGGAGAGGAATGGCCGACCACAGATGGCATCAGGAACACACCTCTGAGCTGTATCCTAGCCTTCGGAAATTCCTTAGGCTGGTTGATGTAGCCGGAGAGAGTGTAGGAGGACGTACAAGGGGCCCGTTGGGGCTTAGGTGCTGTATGCGTAAGCATACCCTCCGCTTTCCTACATACATCACACTTGGCAATAAAATGACATGGAGAGCCCACCTAGGTAATAGACTAAAAAAAGCGTACGTTGCATTCGGTCAACGCCGGAGGGCTATAGGTAAGACATGGGGTTTGTCACCCAAAAATGCCCTCTGTATTTACACGGCTGTAATCCGACCTATGCTTACATATGGTGCAGTAGTATGGTGGTCAAAGACCTTACAGTCTACATCCGCTGCTGCACTTAATAAAGTACAGAGACTTGCGTGTTTGTATGTTACAGGTGGACTACCCCCACTGCAGCCATGGAAAACATGTTGAACCTAACCCCACTTCATTTGTTCATTCAAGAGGTAGCATTGGTGACCATGATTCGACTGCGACCAGCAGGAATTCTAATGGGTGAGAGATATAGTAAAAGTGCTATTCTCTGGAATGAAATGGTAGACTACTCACCAATTCTGGAATGTATAACGGACTTCACACCCCTTCAACACGTTTTTACGAAGAAATATCTCACCCATCCAAGTTCCACAGAAGTAGAGCTAAAAAACTGCATTATAATCTACAATGGTAGTTCAAGGAGACGGGAAGGAGCTGAAGCCGAAGTCTTCACGTACAATCTCCGACTCCACGTATCTGAACCTCTAGGTAAAAGTAGCACCGCCATACAGGTGGAGTTAATCGCCATACAACTTGCCGCTGCTTTTATTGTCAGATCCAACTTGGTAGGTAAGACTTTTACAATTTACTGACAGTAGACAAGCTATTTTAGCCCTGAGTGGAATAACAATTAAACCCAAATGTTTCTAGTGTTAGTTCTAGTTTTACACTAACACCATCACTAGAAGTAACACATGACCTAGAACTAGAATCATTCGGATTTAGCTGTCTTGAGAGACGTGAGGCTAAATCCGAATGTTTCTAGTTCTTGGTCTAGTGTTAGTTCTAGTATTGCACTAGCACTATCACTACTACTACTTACGTTACTTCTACTTTTAGTTGCTATTCAACGTTCGATCTTATATTATTATTGAATTAAAACTACAACTAACACTAGAATTAGAACTAGAAAGTTTCGGGCTTAGCCGTGCGTCTTCAGTTCTTCAATTTAAATGCAAATTCAAAATTTTTCATATAACGGACACTCCCTGTTCCATATTAATCCGTTATATCGAGGTTTTACTGTATATGTTTTTTTATTTTTATCAATTTTATTTAATAAACACAGAAAATAATTCAATTTGTAGAAACAAATTTTGCAAAAAAAACTTATTGCGTCGTTTTGGATATGTATTAGCGTCGCGACGCAATCCCTTTAGGCCAGCAGTAGTCGTAGCTCAGCAGGAGGATCCCCCGAACCGGCGAGAAGTTGCGCAAGCGCAACTCGACGGTATGAGGAAGTGCACGGTTTCTGCTGCCGGTCGTCACGATCAGCCGTTCAGACGGTCTGTTGAAAGCGTCGCACGCGCCGTCGGATTTACCACATTCACTATTCCTTACCCAATACAAACCGAACTCACGTTCGCCGATTTCGTCCGGCAACCGGCATCGGAGTTTTTAACGTCGCAATATTAACAAAAATATACATCAAAAAAAAATCGGGATCGGTTTTTTTTTAAATAATTTTCAGTGCTTGGTTGTGTTTTATGTTTCGGTCAGTGTCAGTAGTAAGGACAACCTTCGATCCTCTTCGATGAACAAACCGCAGGTAAATGTAAAATCTATTTATTTCAAGTTGAGTGTTTGATTGAGTTGGAAAAATGTTTCCTAAACATGATTTAAAGATTTTTGTGGGTTATCATTTAAAATTTTCTTTGAATTATTGTTTTGTTTTGAATTGTAGACGGTGTGATGCCGAGAACTCCGTATTTTAAAAGCCGGTTAGCGCGGTGCGCCACTACTAGAACCTAGAAACGTGATTGATCAATAAGTTTGTACTTACTCTGGTTTCACTTTAGAGTATTCGCTAACTGGCTCGGATTTAATGTTGAGGGCGCCTAAGCTTGTTTTCAAATATAGTCAGACGAATTACATAATAGGTGTATTGAGGACTGTCACGGATCGGTGATGTTGTTTTTGTTTTGGTATGAATAGTGAAACTTATATTGAATGTATTTTAAAATAGATATCATCACATAACAAATAAACAAACACAATATAATAAAAATTAGTTTAATTATGTTGCAGAATAAACAAATACATCAATAGAAGCTTTTGGAAACTTCTATTTTAAATTTGCCAATTTGTTTTCGAAATCATTCTCTCGATTGAGAATTAAAAATCAAAAAATTTTAGGTTCTCGTTAATTTTGGAATGTCTCATTCTGGGAACCATACACGTAAATAAAGTTATTTTTTGCAATGTTACATTATTATTATCTGTATGATCGCCCGTCATATTTGCATAATATAGATAAATCTTTAAGAAAACATTGTTTTCTGAGAATACGCTTAAAAACATTTTTGCGCCAACTAAGTTTCAAACAAAGTTCGTGTCCAATTTTGTTCCACTCTTCTATAATAACTTTTTTAATCTTCTTTTGACCTTACCGTATCATTTCGGACTTTTTTCTTAATTGGATATAAAGTCCGGTTAATGGGAAGGTGTTCTCGATTGTCTTGGAACACTCCAAATTAATCAAGTTTTATTTATTGCAGCAGTGTGGTTGGAATTGTAATCTTCTGAAATAAATAAATGCATGGCATCTTCAGCACTAATTACTAACTTAAGATTACAACTTCACAGTACAACGTTAATAAATGTAATGTGCTTCAAATTATCACCTAATTTTCGATTAATACCTACAAACAAAAATAAAAATGTTGTACAAACCTTTGACTATTAGGAATCGATTAATACTACACCTTCATTAGGTTACATATATCTACATCAAAACCCATTTATTTGAAAATCACTGCTCGTAGGAAACCAACAACATAATATTACTTGTCACACCTGTAATTAACAATAGTTGTATTATAATAAATAATAAAATGAATAATACAAAGCGTATAGCCTTGTTAGTTTTTTTATTTAGATAATAATTCTACTGAAAATCCCAACGTTTTGGGACCGTATTATCTGGATTTATAGAAGAAATTGTACTTTAAGCGTTGATACTTTATTGACTTTGTTATAAAATGCTTTATATTTCATCTTGACATCTCGGAACTGAGATAATTTAATCTTAATAAATCGAACAAAGTGGTATTGAAAAATCAAAGCGACGAGAGTTGAGCAACAATTTTAAGTAATTTAAATAGTTGTTAAATTTACTTGAAAATAGTTTTTATTTCAAATCAATTAAACTGAACAGTTGTTGATTTAAAGTTCTTTTATTGTCAACCTATTCTCAATCAATGTTGTGACTAAAGAGGCTATAGTTAATGAAATTCTTGCATCTACAAGCACATGTTCTTTCTTCTTTATTTTCGTTTCTGTGTCTGAGTATGTGATGCCTTGACGTTCTTTAAGTCCACTTATTGTTCTCACACCTATATCTACACTTCATTTTTTAAAGAAGCATGTTGTCAGGCGGATATCGCGATCCGTTCTTTAAGTATTTATTTATAATTTACATATAAATTTATCATGTACACATTTATTTATCCATGTCTTTACACATACTTGTAATCCACTTCCTCATCCAATATTATTTTTAAATGATGTCGTCGCATTTGTATTATGATGTTTACGTCCATGATGTTATTTAAGGACAGTTTGGCATGAGATACAAAATTTTTCTCTTTGATTGATCTACATACTTAGTCTGCATTATTACCGGAATTCAAAGTCTTCTGAACGCTGTTTTGCGGAGTTTAATTTATACTTGAAATGTTTGTATTATAAAGTTGTTTGTAAAAAGGCTGTCTTACAATGCAGGTATTATCCACTTTATCAAGTCCATTAATTCGGTTGACCATTATGTCTTATTGACTCCTTCTTGCATTTCCTGTTTAGTGTTATTATCGCTGTTTGTACGTGGCTGCTTTCCTGCCTTTCAACTCAACTGGGGTTTACTCTACGGTAGTGTCTTGGAAATGTCTGTTCAATAACATTTCTTGCAACATTACCTTTGTAAGGTTCTGGATTAGGCTTAAGATCATACAGCCTAGCATTATTTGACTTAAGCTAATTAGCATTTTATCAGGGTTAAAATTAAACACCATATTATTAATGTGATTACCTTCTGCTATTATCTTTTTATTCTTAATTATACTACATACACCATTCTTGAATAGTATTACAACAAAACCACACAGTTTCAGTTTATAAACTGATAATAAATTACAATTAAATCTCGGTATCATCAAATAGTCTTTAATTACGATTTTGTGTCTTTTATTATTAACAAACATCCCATTTATATCAGCTATTTAATCAGCTAGTAGCGACCTATTTTAGCAACTTTTCTTCACTTAAAAATTGGCCTCATTTGTATAACATGGAAAACCTCTTCGTGAGGCTCACTAATTCGAATTTCCGATTGGAATTTGGCAAATTTTCAATAATTTCTCCATTTGTGAATCTTTCCACAGTGACGTCCACTTACATATATATTTCTTCTGTCTATACATATATTTTCAAGTATTCTTGGTGTTGTAGAAGCAATTTCACGACTTTTTCTTTTTTGTTTGCAAACAAGTTTATTTATCATTCATTTCGTCCTTTAATTGTATATTGTATTTAGTGAGAGTTTCCAAAGCTGCAACCAAAATATTGAATTTAGATAGTAAGGTGGCTCAGAAATAATCATCCTAATTTCATTGTAAATCATTTCTTTCGAAGTAATAACTCATTTGCTATTCCATTCTGCTCAAAGTTGAGTAATAAAGACTTCATATCTCGTGTACTGTATTTTTAACCTTAATATAATTACATACTCAACTCTTTCACCGTTACTGGCCTAATGCTCAATGGTAACCTTATGAATTAACTACTGCCTGAAAGTCTGAAATTCAACATAGTTTCAACAAACTTTACTCTTGCTTCAACATACCGCTACTCGCCTAATGGCGACGTTATGCACTTTACGGATATTGTCAAAAACCTTTGGGTTATAATGTATTAACTGCTGCCCTTGAAGTTTCAAATTCTGCATATTTTCAAAAAAGATCACTCTTGTTTTAACACATTGGACATACTTCATCCTTCCCTTCCTCTTACTACCAAATAACTGCATTCGTTACGTATTTAATCTGGAGAAATTTTCGCCAATTACGTTATTCCCGGATTATTTACAGATATTAACTTCCCAGAGTCGTAGGTCTTCCGGAATACTTTCTATTTTATACAAGTTCTTCGATGTAAAGTTCAAACGTATTTTTATTGTACCTTTCAACTTTTATCATCACGTGATTAGCCTACTCGATTTCGGTCTGACGTCATAGTTATCGTTTTCGTAGTTATTTATGGTTAGTATAGACATTTTTTCGATTCGCGGTATCGATATCTCTCATAAACTTTTTACTGTCCAATCGATTACATTTTGTAAAAATGAGCCTACTGTGTCGTTGTGCATTTATATATAAATTAGCTCTGAACATCCACATATTTACCTCTTCACCAATTTTTTTGAGTTTCAGACCTGGGATTATCTGTGTATAATTATTTCTTTTATTGTATTGATTGACAATAAACGTATTATTATTATTAACAATTCAACGAATTATTGTTGATACATTTTTTTAGTTCTAACAGATTGAGAAAACTATAAACATATTTATTTT